TATATATATATACATATAGTGTTTTCAATAAGAAAGCACTGATTATAATTCAAATATCATCGTATAACTATTCTTTATTTCTATTAAGCAGAAGATTGCAAGTAAATTGAGTTGAATTGCTATTGCAAAAACAGTTCAGATAAATCGAGATACGAATAAATATTGAATGCACCTTTTTGCTTTTGCGAATTTTCGTTCTTAGTGTTGCCCCCGAAAAAGATCGTTTCCCGGGGCTCTCCACTGTAATTAAGGCAAATCACATGTCAAGGTCCCTGTCAGGACTATAAGAACACGTCAATAAAATAAACTACAGTTTAAAGTTGCCGCTTTGGTTATAGTTTAGCAGCTTTATTGCCGCCGAGGGCGTTCGGATGCTCAGATGGCTTTTTGTTTGGGCGGCCGAAAAGTGCGAGATGTTCCAGAGATACCCGGACCAGATGTCCAGAAACTCTTGAGTGTAAATAGCCTGAAAAACCTTTGGAAGTTTGCCTCCTTTCTTGGGGGTATGATGGGTACGGCTAGAAGGTACGGTAAGTTGGCAAAAGTCATTTGAGGCAGCAAAGCCGCAGACAGTGAAGCAAAACGAAAGATGTTGTAAAAGTTTTGGCTTAGTTTCGTTTACCTAGTGGCATAGAAAAAACTGTTTGAATATAATTCTAATTTGCATATTATTTGGCTTTGGCCAGCGCCGTCCCGTTTTCCATTTGGAGTCGAACGGATGGATGGCGGGGGATGGAATGGAACCTTTGGGCGTACATAATGGGCTGGAAAATCTTATACAAGGGAACGCAATCTGCAGGATTGCAGCGGCCACAAAGCTCTTAAAGTAATTAGTGGCATAAATTAAATGCCCCAACCCTCCGAGTGGACTTCTGCCCCGAAAACAACAATGGGCAATTGTTTGAATGACCCTTGTGCCACTTTTAATTGTTGCAATGCTGCGAAACTTTTCGACCTCACCGGCCAAGGCGAAACCGAAAGAGTTGCGGAAAAAGGCCTCTAGCCTTTTTGTCACCGCCGTGGAAAATTGAGAGTGAGGGGAAAATGGTGGAAAATCGGGTAGCGATTTCCTCCCGACGCACTGCAACAAAAGCGACCGACCGCGGGGCATAAATAACTTTTTTTATGCGTTTCATATGGGCTTTTTATATGGACAGAAGGTCGACGCACAAGCCACACAAAAATTCGGCCAAAATGAGGAACAAAGTTGACACTTTTTAAATTGAATATAAAATAAAATAAATTGTGGGTTATTTAAAATATCACCCTGCCGCGCAGGGTATTTTTCATTCCCAGCAGCTTAATGTGAGCCTAATTACTTTTTATTTTGGCCAAATGGAAATATTGCAGCTTAATTTTAGTTTTCATAAAATATCCGATTAAGTTGACATTTGTTCACTTCGAGATGTCTTGTAAATGTATATGTAAAATTATATGACAATTTTTTGCGAAACAATTATGTATGTGAAAAAATTGGAAATCGAAAAAAACGTTTATATAGAACTAGACGCTATTAACTTAATCGATATTAATAAATAAAATGTACTTTTTTGTCGCCTGTTAAGCCCTTGCCTTTTTTGCTGCCTAAAATATACCTTTTCATTTGAAGGTTTTTCCCTTTATTTTGTATTCCAATTATGTAATGGAATTCCCACTGATATGATTTCAAGTAATTAAGCCTGTAAGCTGCGAGTGAAAACGAAAGCAGCAAAAACTACTGCAGCATTGATTTCCAATTGATTTTGGCTTTTGTCGCCTTTCAGTCATAAAAATACTCATCGAAAATTACATGCCAAAATAAAACAAGCTGTTGACTTGCCAAATAGCCGTGAAATATTCCCCCAGGGCGTAGGTGAGCAGGTAACGGCAATCGCATCGTCCTGCCGGTTGAAATTCGCTGAGACAACAAATGTCGCCATCCTCCCATCCACCCATCCAAGCCACCTATTTGCCCACCGACCACGCCCCACTCCCAGTCCGGCGTATCTGTCTCCGGACAGTAACGAGTCCTGGTCATGGGCGGAACTTGAGAGGAGCAGGAGGAGCAGGAGGAGCAGGCTGGATGCCAGGAGGATATCGTAAAGCGACACACAATCACACATAAAATTTTACAACACGAGGATGTTTTTTATTGCACTCGTCCCCCGACTGGCTGCTTGTCCTGGTGTCCTTGTCCCCAATCGAAGGACCTTAAGTAGCCAATTACTGGAAACTTGGAATTCCCAGTCATTCGATGGGCAAGGGTTCCCCAGCTTCGCAGCTTCGCAGTTTGTTAGCGCTCGCCCATCAGGCGGATAAACAACAAAACATTTTTCTATTTAATTAAATCGAATTCACCTCTTGGACGGTCATTCGCTGATTTATGGATGGAAGCCAATAAATTTGCACAGCGCTTCTGATTCAGATTGGGACTCGGATTCTGCTTTTTACGCTGATTCTGGCCGAGCCGTGAGCCGTTTAAATCACGAGCTGTGCTGCGGTTTTAATTAAAAGGAATTTATTTTCCACTCAGCTGCAGATAAGTGCGCAGACAGTTGGGCTGTAGCAGCATCCACATCCGCAGACGACCATATAAATATAATAGTTTACCTTTGCCTCTGCTTTTGTAGCGCACTGCACCACCTCACCACCTCACCACACCACTTGCACCACTCGCACCACTCACGCCCCTCAGCACCACCGCACCGCACCGCACCACACACTCACTCAAACGGACGCAAATATTTGCCCACCTCGTATTACATACCCACGACTTGCCATTAACGTTAAGACAATACAAAAGGCCACATTTGGTACAGGGAGAAATAAGAGGCCTAAACTCGAGCCACAGCTTCCTGAATTCAGTGAACCAAATGGGTACGACTTCGGAGGACACTGCAGTTGAACGCAATTTATGCATCTTCTGTAAGGAAATTAATAGCAAATATGAGATCATTTATAAAATGATATTTAAATTGCAGTTTTAACATTCATGAACCACTCTTCAATTTCTTAAATTATAGTATCCTAGCATCCATATATCGGTGGAATGGATATATTGGTCTAACTTCACTTCATTGTGTAAGAATATAAATTATCTTGCACTTTTAGAAGTATTTATCAGTAATAACGTATATAACGAAATGCACTGACAACCTAGGATTGCTATGAATATTTTATTAATTACCAATTAGTGATTACAGTACCTGGAGCTTGTCCAAATGTGTTGTTACTTTCGGATACATTTGTTCGAGTGCATTGTGCGTTCTGCCTACGATATGTGCATGTGTGTGTAACCCTTTGCAAACATGTCTATTTTGGTCAATGGCAATGGCAACGCAAGCCATTTGTTAATTGACGCCACACCCCTTCGGCCGGGAAAATCGAGACGGGACCTGAATCTGGGGATCCGGGATATGGGATCTGGCATCTGGAAACCAAGAACTGAGAACTGCGAACTGAAACTGGGGGTTCGGGGCCTTCGGCCGCCTGTCATAATTACGGAACTGGCTGCTCAAGTTGCCACAGCTGGCACCTAAGACATTGGCCATGGCCAAAGACCTGCATCGTCGGCTGTCTAGTTATTAAATAGATGGACAGATGGATGGGCGATATGGGGCTGCTGGGCGATTCCAATTCCAACGATGCCCGACCACAGATCGGGTTTCAGGTATTAGTCAGTAATTAATCATCGCCTTGTTCTAACGGGCAATTGTGTAATTACAAGCTATATGGATATCTAATGCGTTCGATAAAAATGTAAATGCGTATATATATGAATATATACATTGGGCTCAATCGGGCGAATCGAGAATTAATGGCCAATAAGCGAAAATGAATCATGCAATTGGCGCCCAATGGCTTCAACTTTGCGCAAAATGTTGTAAAGCCCTCGGCCCAAAATCCGAACCTCTCGAGGGCCCACTAAAACCCCGATATAAACAGGGGCCCGCAGCCAAGATGTTAAGACACCCACCCATCTACACACACACACACATGTATATATATATATATATGTAGACCGGAAATCGCCGGCGATAAATCTCCCATTTACCTTTAAACTCGAAATACGACTACCAATGGGGAGTCGAGGAAAATCGAGGGTAAATCGGAGGAAAATGGGTGCGGAAGTTGGGGAAGTTGGGATGTGCGGGAGTGGACACTGTTACGACCTTAAATCCACTAACAAATAAAGGAATAAATTGCCCATAAAAAGGATTTTGCAAATGCCGGCTGCAACTACGGAACCCACTTGTGTTTCCTATTTTACAGTTATTGTGCACTTCTTTCTAGTTTAGTTGCTTGTACTAAACTTAAAGAATTGCGCGACCGCAAATGCCAACAAGTTTTGTTCGCTTCTTGTTCACGAGCAAAAGTCAAGTGCTTATGACTAAGTCTTTAGCTTCTCTTTTGATAGAAAACATGGCTATGATTTTTTTTTTTATGTTGTCTAAATAATTTAGAAATATTTCTTATAAAATTTGTTTAACGGCTTAGATTTATATCTGTGCAGTAGGATAGTATGTTTTAGTTTTTCTTTGTGAATTGGTTAAAAATTAATTAATTCGAACATTTTTGAAAAGAAAGAATCAAACTGTAGCAAAATACTCAACTTTGGAAAAGTTTGAAATTAAGAGCTGGTTTTAAAATTTGCGGCGCAACTTATAGAAAATTTCTCACAATGAAACATTAAATAAAATTGTCTCTTTATTCATTTCCATCAAATGCATACTGCATGAAAACCCAAATACAAATTTTTGAACAGAGTGTAACGGACGAAATTTGAAGTTGGTGATCTAGCTATTTTCTAGCCAAGAAAGTGATTTAGCTATATTCTAGCCAAGAAAGTGGTTCGTATCCTAGCTCAACGAACATCGTAGTTCTTCACCCTAGCCAAGAAAGTGATTTAGCTATTTTCTAGCCAAGAAAGTGGTTCGTATCCTAGCTCAACGAACATCGTAGTTCTTCACCCTTGATTTCGCGGTAACAGCAAAATACCGAAAACCGAAAAATCCGACATGCGTGGCTGGGCTTATGTGCTTAGACACGTCTGGTCAAACTGCTAACATAAAATCAACAACTACTGCGGCCATTCTTACATTCTACCAAAAAAAAAACCGAAAGTGCACTTAAACAGCCCGAAAAAATAACAAAATAACACTGTGAGCGGACGATGCAGCACCGCCAACAAAATAAAGTGTGAAAAGAAGCGATTGAAAACCCGCAACGTCGCCTTGCGAAGCGGGAACTAACGTGTTTGGCTGGCCTGTTTTTTCTCTCTCATCTTTTTCGCCAACCAAAAACCAGGCTAACAGTGATTTTTTCGCGGGGGACGGGGTGCGACGAGCGAAAACCCGTAGAAAAGAAACCGCCCGAAAGGAGCGCCCACCTTGGCCAGCAACTTCAGCTCAGCGCCCCGAACCAAAAGTGAAAAAAAAACAAAAAACTAAGAGGAAAACTTAAGTAAAACGGGGGCGTCTATCGCGTGCAAGTGTGTTAGTTAGTCAGTGTACGTGTACGTGTTGGCCAGAACAAGTTGATTGCGCGTGTGTGCGTGTGAGGGGTTTTTGATGTCTGCGCTGTCTTTTTTCCCCAGCCGAGGTGAGCACACAGGTGAATTATCGGTGCATTCGGCTGCCTTGGCAACAATTCCAGAAAACAACACCTACAAAACAACAACAACAACAACCGCCCGCACTATATAATACAAATAATAGACACGTTTAAAACCAAACAACAAAATCCAGAAAAATGCTCCGTTTTCTAAGCCGTCGCAAGGTGCGCAACAACTATGTGGATAATTCCAGAGGGGGCGGCGGTGGCGGCGGTGCAACTAGTTCCGCGGTGGGCGTGGCTGGGGGTGGTGGCGGCAGTGCCACCTCCGGAGGCAGTTCGCAAATAAAGCCACAACGCATTGTGGTCAACAAGAACAAAATCGACTGCCGCGTCATTCTGCTGGACAACACTGACCTTTCCATCGAATTATCGGTGAGTACAGGAGAGGCCACATCGAATTACATTTGGCCCATTTTCGATTTTTGGCTTTCACCCTTTAAACTGCTGCTGTTGGCAGTAATTTTCGGAAGGCAAACAAACAAGCGATTGGATCTTATAAGAGAATACCGTCAAGGTAGAGATAAAGAGCCAAATTCGTTAGTAGGGTGCCTCAGTTTTACGTGCTAGAAAAATATTCATGATAATAATTGAGGGGAGCTACCCCTATATTAGGTTCCTATATTCTTCCTTAGCACTATTGTAATATAAATATACAGCAAATAAGTATCAAATGTTAAAGAACTTGAATTATGAGATCACAAATATGATATATAGTAAGATAATATTCACCATTGTGCATCAATACCCAAAGTGAATATAAAGTGAGCAGAAAACGTTTCAACCATTTCATTTATTGGTCCACCCTAACGAAGACACTCAGGCAGCTTGCATTGCCTCAGTCCGTGTGATAAAAATAAGCAATTTGCTGCTGATCAGCACATAATTTAACCCGCTAAGCGAACGTGATTAGTTCAGGGTCGCATTGATTTACACCTGCCCCCGACGGAAGTATTAATTTTTTCCACTTTGCTATTTGCTGTTGCAGAAAAAGGCATTGGGCAGCTTTTTGTACGAACAGGTATTCTACGCACTAGACATCATCGAGAAGGATTACTTTGGGCTGCAGTTCATGGATGCCAATCATGTTAAGCACTGGCTAGATCCCACCAAGCCCATCAAGAAGCAGGTCAAAAGTGAGTTAATGTGTGAATCCAATTACGTGGGCTTAACAATACTAATTATTTTACCTTTTCCCGCAGTTGGACCGCCCTACACGTTCCGACTGAAGGTGAAGTTTTACTCTTCGGAACCCAATACACTGCGCGAAGAGCTGACCCGCTACCTGTTCTTCTTGCAACTGAAACAAGATCTTCTCGAGGGGCGACTCGACTGTCCGGATGACAAGGCCACCGAACTCTGCGCTTTGGCCTTACAGTGTAGGTTTTTTTTCTTATTTTCATTCGTTTCCCATTGATTTAATTTGGTGGGTTCAATCATATTGAAAAATATAATTTTATCGCTATAGCACGAGTTTCTTTATCTGTACTAATTGATTTTTTCTCACAGCTGAGCTGGGCGACTATGACAACCAGGAGCATTCCGCCGCCACCGTCTCTGAATTCCGTTTTGTGCCCGAGCAATCGGAAGACCTGGAGATAGCCATACTAGACGAGTACAAGACGTGCCGGGGTCTCACGCCTGCTCAAGCTGAAACAGCATTCCTGAACAAGGCCAAGTGGCTGGACATGTACGGCGTTGACATGCACACGGTGCTCGGAAAGGATGGCTGCGAATACCACCTAGGCCTTACGCCCACCGGCATTCTCGTTTTCGAACGAGATCAGAAAATCGGACTGTTTTTCTGGCCCAAGATCAGCAAGCTGGATTTTAAGAAAAAGAAACTTACTCTTATTGTGATCGAGGATGACGACGAGGGAAGAGAGCAGGAGCACACCTTTGTCTTCCGGCTATACAACGAGAAGGCGTGCAAGCATCTGTGGAAGTGCGCAGTGGAGCACCACACTTTCTTCCGGCTCAGGGCGCCGGTTAAAGGTCCTTCAGCCCGTCAAAATTTCTTCCGTATGGGCTCCCGCTTCCGCTATTCCGGTCGCACCGAGTTTCAGACCACGCAGCAGAGTCGAGCCAGGCGAACGGTGCAATTTGAGAGACGGCCATCACAGCGATTTGCCAGCCGGCAGTCGCACCTGTTGCGCGAACGACAAAAGGCTTCGCAGGAGGCAGCGGTGTCGGCTGTGGCCTCGGTTAATGCTCGAGCTGCTGCCGCTGCGGCTGCCGCAGCTGCATCCCAATCACCTGCGCCAGCTACTCCCTTAATATCTTCCCAAGTATCGACTCCAACTCCTAGCAACGATAACAATAACGACGCCTTCGACTCGCTCATTTCCACGGATCAATTCATCACTGTAACACCTTCGCCTTCGGTGCTTACTGTCATTCAAAACTCGGCCATTATTGAACCGGATGCAGCCTGCAGCGGTTCCATCAGCTCCTCTTCCCAGGCAGCAGCCAACTTCGCCTCGCTGGGTCGCAACTCCCTTAAGTCCAACTTCAGCAACGAGGATCCGGCATACAGCAAGATTGGATCTATTGGCAAGGCGGCAGGGTTGACTGTAAAGTAAGAAATTAATCCGGAATTACCTATTCGTTACCGTTTTAAATGTGACTCTTTTTTTTCAAGATTGGATCCTGACTTCACACCACCATACTCACCAAACGCCACTAAGAACTTCGATGAAACCAATCCATTTAGAAATGCAACAAGCTCCCATCACGGCAGTTTTGGCAAGGCTTCCATTAGCTCCGGCCAGCTCAGGTAAACCTCTTGTATATTTAGACTATCATTGTACCTTTATATATTTATTGCTTTCACTTTCCGATATACTAATTTGCCCGTTTCTGTGTTTGTTTTTCACCTGTCTTTCTGTGTTGTGTATATCATTGTGCAGTGTTAAGAGCGGCTTGTCGGATAAAGATAGAGAGCTAGACTCATTGCTTAAGTCCATTGTCAAAGATCCATCCCCATCAGTGCTAGCAAACGAAGCCATTAATGATGCTAACAGTATCAGGTAGCGTAACCCATGTTTAGATATTAAAATATACTGACGGCAGTGTGATATTTTGGCAGGGTGACCATCAACAAGACCTTCGACATGGACCATAACACGGAGACATTGAAGCGCCTCTCGAACGCCAACGAGAAGCCCAACAACCAAGTTAAGCTGGCCAATGTGAGCACAACGGCTCTGCCGCCTGGCAACATCAAGTGCAATATTCTAAAGGGTGAGTTTACGAACTTTATTGCATAAAATATTCTTGCATGGCCACTTCTTATGCGTACAAATTAGCGAGCATTTTCTCTGTAGCGTAATACTAATGTAATATTAATTAACAAATCCTGCAGCTCGCGTTGAGGAGGAGCTGGGTGCCGGAGGCAACGCCAAGCTTACCAATCAAATGTTCGTACCGGCCGCCCATAGCAGCAACATGCATACGAGCAACACGAACTGCAGCAATAGCAACAGCAGCAGCAGCAACAACCATGCACACAGCGATGGACCGGATTCCCTGAACGCCACCTACATATCAGTGGTAAGTTGTTGGCCAGCGAACCAGTTTAAGCCCACTGCATTGCACTCGTTTCATGCCTTCTGTTTATACGTTCTTATTTCCATTCGTTGTCCGCACTTAATGTTTATCCGTGGTACTGCGTGTATTGTTTCCGTGTGCTTGTGTCTGTATGCTTGCTAAACCACAAAAATAGGGAGGCGATAAGCTGACGCTCAGCATACCGGAACAGAAGCCGTCGACGGGTAGTAGCAGCAGTTCCAGCACCTCGAGCACGACTACCACCACCACCAATGGAATTGCACCCTTTAGTAATGCCACCTTTGTGTCGGGATTCAGTGCACCACTCACTCCGCCGTCGTCGCTGACGACGAATCTGAATAATACCGGAAGCGCGTGCAATACCACCCTTACCAGTGTGACCACCATCAGCACGCCCAGCAGCCCCACCGCCACCG